AATGGGAAACTTTTCCAGAAAAAATGTTAAAATTGTAACGTTTCCAGAAAAATTGGATGAGACTTAAAACAAAGCTCGAATTTTCCGGCAAATTAAATTCCCCTACTCCGGCCATGGGCGCGGGCAGAGCTCTCATTGGGGCGACGCCTGTTTCAGCCTGCGCTACGGGTCGGGCGTCGAGGTGCCGCGGCCGCACCGCTATCACCGGATGCTGTGCAGGGCGGGCGGGGACGCGCAGCACCACAACGACAGGCTGTGCGAGGTACGTACGGGCCTACGGGACGCGCGCGCCTGCCAAATACTCGAGATTATGTCGGTCGCGCGGGTGACGTCAAACAACACGCTGACTTGGCCGAGTGGCGGCGCAGCTGTTCAGCCGGTGCGTGGGGTGGATGCGGGAGCTGGGCGAGGACCCCGGCCAGGACAAGGACCTGCAGCCGCACCGCCTGTGCCAGCCGCTCACCCTGGAGCGGGACGAGGGCGCGCGGCTCGCCGTCGACGTGCATGAGATGCCTACGGTCAGTGTCAGAGATAAAGAGAGAGAGGGGCAGCCGCAAAACGTGTGGTGACAAAGGGTAAAATGACTTTGACCTGATTCACAAACTTCATCAAAGTTCATTAGTTCACTCGCGAAACGTCCAACGGCCACCTCAGGTGCCGCACGAGACGGCGCTGCGCGCGTACGCGCTGCACCGGTCGGAGCGCGAGGCCGCGCACCGGACGCTGCGCCGCGACGCCCGCGCCGCGGACCGGCCGCCCGCCCGGGCCGCGCACCGCAACGTCGCCTTCCTGCGCTGCGTGCCGCGCGGCGACCCGGCCCGCTACAAGGCGCCGCCCGCCGCCGGCATGCTGGTCGTCAAGCAGCCCGCCGAGCTCGTCAGCTTCGACAAGGTGTGGCGGCCGCACGTCCTCTCCCTCAGGTGCGTCCTTGACGGTCCTCGGCGGTGGTCCTCTTGCTGACGCCAAAGCGCCCCCTTCGGGGCCCCCATTGGCAGATAAGAACACGACTGAGAATACAACTCTCCGCGTGTCCCGGTTGGATCGGCAGGATAACCAAGAAGTTCTGCCAGTTCCTGGAGGCGGAGCACCCGCTGGTGCCGCGGCCGGAGGCCCTGGTGCGCGCGGGGCTGCTCCAGGCGCAGGACGCCGGCATGCTGCCGCCGGCGCCCCCGCTGCCCAGGAGGGCCCACCGGCCACCGCCACCGCCACGAGTCCCCGTCACCGACCAATAGGCCCATTGGTCATCCGGCTCCGAAAGGGACGCGAATTATTTTTGTTGACATTCGCTACCCTCCGCCTGCATGACGGGGAGATTTTGACTGGCTTTGACGGGACAACAGCACTGTTGTCGACTTTCTACAGAGCATTTGTAAAGCCCTTTACTGACACGGTGCTTTGGGCATCACATCTACATGGTACTTAAAACTAGTTTATCTACACTGAGCTCCTACGCTTACTATGTACCTGCCTCTGACGACAACGAGATGTATTAATACTAAAGATAGACGTCAATGAAATAAAATATTTATTTTTATTTCCAGCCCTTACTTTACGTTCAGTTCCTGGTGATCAGGCACTCGCCGAAAATGATTATGTCCATCAGGGTCTGCCACACGGCGGGCAAGATGGCCGGTAGGAAGATGCAACCGAAGAGCTCGAAAGTGGCGGAGAAGCCGAGGGTGATGAGGGCCTTGACGGTGCGCCACACCAGGTCGGCCAGGGGCTGGAGCTCGCTCCGCGCCACGTCCGCCAGCTGGGAGAGGCAGCTCATCGGTTCTGTAAATGAGGGGGCAGGTTTAATTAGAGGAAATTACAAATCGATATGATGTGGTGAAAGCGAGGGTGAAGAGGATTGTTTAGAAAGTTCTTACTCTCAAGACACTTGCGGCCGGCCGCCTTCAGCTCGGCGCCCACCCTTCGGGCGAACTGCTTCATGTCGTCCAGCAGGAACCTCCACGTGTCCAGTTTCTCGCCGATGCATCCCTCGGTTGTCTCCACTACGAGGCTGGCCGAGTCCTTGAGTCCCCACCACAGGTCGGCCAGACACTTCTTGGGGTCGGAGCGGGGCGCGGCGGCCAGCGCGGTGGCGGCGCCGGCCGCGCGGGCGGTGGACAGTCGTGACGATGCCTGCGGGAGGGAGCACGCTCTCCAGTGAATGGCGTGGCCACGAAAACAACATCGGGCCGGTCGCTGGGGCCAACAAAACTAGCCGTTGCGCAGATCGCAGAGGTCGGCAGGACCTACCGGGAGGCGCGCGTCGGCCGGGCACGAGGCCAGGGCGGCCACGAGCAGCAGCCCGCCGCAGAGGGTCCAGGTGGGGGTCATGGCGGAGCTGGTAGCAGCCAGATGGTCCCGGGTCGGGTTGGTGAATCGCTTCACTTCGATATCGAAGCTCGACTGCGAGGCTTACGGCTGCCTAATCACAGCCCCGCTCATTCAAGTGGGCCCGGCGTTGTTCTCCTCCACGATGTCCCCCGCTATCTCTCCGCTGCGCGTCCGCGGCCATCTGGTGCAGCCGCGGTGCGCGTCCTCTAGACAGGGGGCAGGCTGTTGAGCTCGTACGCCGGCACCTGTTTGTTCAAGGGGTTAGAGGTCACACAAAGGTCCAGCCCGGTGGTGGATACCTCCCTGCGGGTGCCAGGCTCAAGGTCACGCACCCTGGTCGGCGTCGTCGGCGTCCTGGTGCCCGCGGCCATGGAGCTGCCGACGGGGCCGGCGTTGGAGCGGAGGGCGGCCTGCGTCTGCTGGCGGAGCAGCATCAGGACCGAGTCGTACGCCTGCAGGACACCAAGAAGGAGGGCCACGAGATGAGCGAACCTCCTAGGTGTTCGCCGACCCAGATCCGGGAGGACGGAACATTTCAGACGGCGCCTTTGTTCAACGTAACATAACTGTTTACTATTTGGTCATTTTCTTAGAAGTCGCTGCTCAAGGACCTCCCCCTTCAATTGAAAAATGCTGTTCAGTGATTGCAGATAAGACAGTCGCACTATTATTATCAATCGATCTCTTATTGTTTTTTTACAAAAAGTTCTGAGGATCTATAGTTTTCTAAGAGCATCTTCATTTTGTTTGTAGATGTTTTAGTCGTTATACCCTACCGAGCGCACTTGTGCAACGCATCGTCCTCCTCTGACCACGGTGCCTTTGAGATCATCCAGAAAGTAATACGCCCGTCATTCACCGCTATGAAACTGGCAAAGTTCAGCCTATTCACGCTGCAATAGCGCCTGATGGGTAGGCCATATCTTCCATGCAGTACATACGCGAACTGCTGGGTGGCCTACCCCGAGTCTCGCAGGCGCCGAGCTTGAGTAACTTCCCTAAGAAAAACCCCCGCACGCCTGCACGCGATAAAGTGATATTAGCCGCGCCTTGCACAACTGCAATGCTATGATAACAGTTGGAGAATTATGCGAAATTCTTATTTTGTAAACGTGTAATTCACTGTGGAACAAGCTTCCCCAGAGCGGAGGCAAAGATATATCGCAACAAAGCCCGGCCTTTCCTCGCACGCCACCGTTGGCGCTGGCACCCAACGATTGCTCTCTGACCGGCGTCCCAACACTGTATCTTCAATTAATTTCAACAAGGAACAGAGTTATTGGTCTGGCCCTCTTCGGAGTCTCTGCTATCTGCCTCGGTCTGCCTACTCACTCACACTCTGGTCCGCTGCCCCGCCCACCGCCGCCCCCGCCCCGACTGCAGGGCTGCCACTGCTGACGGCGGCCGCGGCCGGCGGGCCGTGTCGTCGGCCCCAGACCGCCCTACGGGGTGGTTCGGCGAACACGTGGATCTCCTCGACGTGGAACGTGTGCCAGCTGGGGGAGGGCTGTCGCAGCACCAGGCGCATGGCCACCAGCTCGGTCCATGGCACCGTGCTCTGCAAGACGGAGTTTGATGCTTTCACTTCGCCCAACGTACCGTGATATGTGGCTTTGGTTGGACAAAATAAACTCTGTGAAGCACCCACCTCGGTGGCGAGGATGGACACGAAGTCGTGGCTGCCGGTCTCGAGGTGCGGCGAGGGCATGAGCACTCTCCGGGCCACGGCCACCACCCAGCCGGACTCCTTGCGCAGCTTGCTGCTCGCGTCTCCCTGCACCTGCTGCTGCACCTGCGCAGCTGGCACAGCTGGCACCGCGTCGCCCGACTGCAGCTGACAAGAACCGAGGGGTAGAACCTCGAGAGTTAAAGCAGCACACCTTACGGACAGCGACGTAAGATAGAGAGTCCCGAGTATGTGCTCGCCGCACGCCGACTCACCTGTCCCTGCTCGGTCTGCTGCGGCTGTCCCGGGGTGCCCAGCTCGGGAGCGGGGCCGGGTCCAGGGCCCGGGGCGGCCACCAGCATGCGCACCAGCACCGTCAGCCATGCCGTGTAGTAGTTGTGGAAGACGAGCTCGGACACCTGGGAGGGCGCGGCGAAGAGCAGGTCCACGACGGAGCAGCCGGGCGGGCCGGCCGGCGTCTCGTCCAGCGTCACGTGCACGGGGCCCTTGAGGCTGAAGTCCACGGTCTGCCGCGCGGGTCTGCGCACGGCCGCGCCGCTCGCCCCGGACGTGCTCGTGCCGGGCACGGCCAGCCCGCCGCCGCGGCCAGAGGACATCCCCTGGAGCGTCCTCCCGGAGCCTCCGGGTGCGACTGGACTGGCCGCTGCTGGAGGCTAAACATGTCGCCAGGCAACCGCCTGGAGTTGGGTTATCGACTCCCCGACCCCACCCCTCACCGCTCTTTAGGCAAGCACACCCCTTTGTTGGTCAGTCTGCAATACTGAGTGCTATGCACAAGCATCTCTAATAAAAATCAGTACAAATTCTGTAACATTGTTATGCAGACTGTATTATGTGCCATGGATACGAAAAACATGCATGCATACATGTATGTGAAGAGGAGTGAGGGTGAAGGTCATTTACACCTGGAATAAAATACGCGTCAGTTTCACTTTGAGTCACGTTTATTGAATAGACATGTTTGGCCCAAATGAAATAAGTATTAAATAACTGCACCCACATACTGAGTTAAATAAAATTTACACAAAGTAAAATCACAGACTATGTACAGTTACAAAACAAAATGTTACTAGAGAAAGTTGCATAATGCTATCTTCTCTCCTTGACAAACACAAGAAACCAAAACAAAGAAAGAACTGTCACCAGTTTCCTCTGCCATTGCTCAGGATGGCTCAACTAAAAAATTATAGAAATTATAAAATAACAATGCCTCACATGTCTACATCAGTATTTTCCCATTCCATTAACTTAATCGCTGAAAACTCACTCAAAGTGAAGAGAACAAAAATATAATGGCAGTGATATTCCGATTAGGAGTATTGAATGAACACTGTTATCAAATTTTACGGGCTGGCATACTTAGTTGGAGAAGAGCTACATTTACCTTCTTTATCCACCAACAAACAATACATACTTAGTTGGAGTAGAGCTACATTTATCTCCTTTATCCACCAAAATACAATACAATCAGTATGACGACAGCTTGATGTAAATATTTTAGCACTTGTTGACATATGTAATAAAAACTGGAAGTATTGTTATGTCCCATTACATATTGAGGCTTTTAAAACAGTCTTATTAATTAACATTACAAAAGTTGTTGGTGGTAAAGTAACAGTCCTGTAGACATAAAACGAGTAAGATACTAAAATGACAGTCACTCATCAAAGATAGCCAAAAGACCTTCAATATAGGTAGCAACATTGAAATAATATCAAACTGGGTTTAAAGGAGTAAATTTGTTCACATTTTCAGAATATCAAGAAAGAGATAACAACTAGTATGCATTATAATCTTTTTACCTCAAAAAAGACAAGAATGAAGGAGTGGATAAACAGCTAATATGGAAAACCCACACATTAATTTATTTAAACAATATTAAGTATCACATGCAATGGATTCAGCATCCATGCACACATGCAAAGGCAAATAACAAATAACTTTAGCTATCATCATATGTGGAAGGGAAAACGCAGTTGACAAAAGATTCAACAAGACTAGTATAGAAGAAAACTTCTTTCAGATAAATGCATCTTAAACTTACGAAAATAAAGTTACACTACATTCAATAACACCCTTAAAATAGAGTTTAAGGAGAAAATAAGAATCAATAGTTAGTTCAAAAGGAAAAACACTGTACAGGTTGCACAAAAAACAGTTGGGACCAATCTATGTTCTCACAAAGGTAAGTATAAACTATTCGTTAAAAATATCTAAATTCATAAGAGATGGCGAATAATTCATTTTTAGAGTCACAGTTATGCTAACATAACAGTATTGACAGTCATCTTCATGAAGACAAACTGAAATAGAGTAAACATTAACAAAATATATCTTCAAAACACAATATTTGAATGAAAAATTCAACACGTCTACTTCTTTTATCTGACACTCAACATAATGAGCAACTCAATAATTAAATAGGTTCTAACAATCAATGATCATTGTCAAATCTGCGTACTCGAACTCGTTGCTTGTAATGATATTCTTTTAAGTAGCTTTTTAAAGCTTTTGGTAGTGCCAAATGATTTATCCCATCATATGTTGAATGGCTACTGACCACAGCTCTGCTTAAATGCTGAAGAGAGAATGGAAAATTACGGTGAAGAGGAATAGTTAACATAGGTTCAAAAAACATACAGCATGTCGGATCTTTGTAATGTTCAATTAACCCACACACAGTACTGGAGGCAAAAACACCTGGATCATGAGAATCAAAGCTAAATCTATGATTCCACTGTTCAATTCTGGCATGAAGGGAGCGTCCATACTTCCGAAAACTCACTGAAAACAGGTACTCTTCCTGAGCTGAGTCCCTTAATAGAAATGTGCCTTCAGCTCTACCATCAAGAAGACGTTCTGCTTCATAACGGTCCATTTTACCCCAGTAGAAAGAGCAAGATGTGATCTGAAGTAGATCTGGAACCAAGCAGTGTATATAGTCCACTTGTGTGTGAACACCTCTTGAAGGTGGAGGATTATTGTTCACAGCAGGCTCCAAATGTGCTAGTGCAGGAGTCAAAGCAGAAGCAGATAATCCTAAGTGAGTTTGAAATAAGGCAGTGATATTATCAATCAAGTCTGGGGGGCACAAAAGTTGAATCTGTCGTCCAGGTTGGAATCCTGGAGGGGGTTCTACTCCCTCTGCTATTTCTCTTGCTCTCTCGATTCTAGCTCTTTCATCACAGTCTTCAATTGGGTAATCATCTGGATTAAATTTTGATAAATCTATTACACTGTTTGCTACAGGGAAACCCTCCTCATGGGCAGTAATAACATCACGCCCACAACAGATTTTATGTTTTGCCACAGGAACTGGTGGTTCTTGAGAGGAAGCAGCATCTTCTGAGGAGTTTTCTGCAGATGTTTGAGGTATAGCTTGCGCTACAGATTGCAGTGAGGATTGGCTATTGGCTTGCATGATTGTTGGCACCAGGGCTGGTGGCTGATTATCCATTGAATTAGCTTCAAACACCACACCTGCTCCTAAATGATGCTCTTCAGTACGTCTGTAACCTGTGCATACACAAGCATCACAGCTTGTATGTGGTTCAGGAAGGTATGTTTCTGATGATGAACTAACACTACTACATCCAGTCCGCAAGCGTGAACAATTAAACTTCAAAACCCAGTGATTACGTTTTTTCTTCGATCTACCATCACTTAATTCTTTACAAGTTTGCAAAGATTTGGAACGAGACCTCTTGCTATTCACAAACGATAATGATTTTGATGTTCTACGATGTTGTCCATTATCAGCTATTGGTGTTCCAGGAGCAGACTGTGTCTCATGCTCAGGTACATTTCCGTTCTCTTCATCTTGAGAGGAACTGTTAGAGCTCGTTGACAATAAGCTTGCAGCAGTTCCATAAATAGATTCAAAATGATTGTTAACTGAATTGTTGTTCTGGACTGCACTTCTCACTTCTTCACAATTTATATTATTACTGGCAGGTAGAAAGTTACTATTCTCTTCTGCCTCGCCATTCATCTTATAACTCCTTTCTTGATGTGCCAAAGTAGAAAATACTGCCTTGAAGTTGCTGAGCTTCTGACCCATTATCCCACCACTGGGAGAATCAGGGTGCAACGACCAACAGGAGATTTCTTTCCAGGCACAGACCACATTTTGACTACTGTAGCCGATAAAGTTCAGAAACCAGACCTGAAAAATATAAAAGGTTGATTAGAAAATGATAAGAGATAAATACCAAATTGGTACAAAGGACAAGATGATTTCAAACAAATCAGTAGAACATGAATATGTGAGAACAATGTCGTTAAACCGTAATGCTAAAAGAAATTGCATAATAGAATCTGAGGAAATGCAAAAAGGAAAAGAATAATGGGGTCTCCTCTTCAGAAGACACTCTCACACTAACTAGAAGTAGAGGGCAATACACCTGTTTCTCCCTCTACGCTAATGTTTCAATAATTACATCATTTGGGATAGCATGAAAATTAGCATTTGTATCAACATAACCCATTCATAACAATGAGTCCAAAAATTTTAAGTGAGGTATAACCACCATAAAACTTGATAGTACGTGAGACGTTTCTGAAAAAAGCTTGTAGTTCGTAAGATAATACCAGAGAAGGAGCGAAACAGTAAAATACAAAACGCAGGAAAAAGGAAACGGATGACCTCATAGCGATTATGCGTCCTTGTGGGTTATGTATTCGTCATCACGTAAGTAGAGAGGCCAAGGGAGTGCAAAAAGCTGAACCTCAGTAAAATGGTGGTGAAAAGGAAAACTCGATCACGTCCTGAGAAACCTCTATTAATAACAAAAAGCTCTTAATCACAATAACATACCTTGAAGACACCGTGGGTAGTTATCTCTGGAAAGACCTTCGAGGAACAAACAATTTCCAAACACCAGAGTGAAGGGAAGAAGTTAAGTGCAGACGGAGAAGCAGTCTGAAACTGGTCTCGGGTGTCTCACACTGAAAAACAAAGTTCGGAACCCCGATCAAAGTAATTAGGACCAAAATAAATACAATAACAAAGCCACTGCGACGTTTGTTATGTCTGGCCGTATGTCGTGTGAGTGTCCTTACAGTGTTGCCAGATTTGGAGCACATTGTTTTGTTTTCCGTTCCAGTACTGCCAACTCTAGCCACTGATTCCATACTGCGACCGAAAATCAACACGCCAACCTGAGGGCAAGAGCACACCTAAAGGTATGTAGTTTTGATAAAATGTAACTTGTGTTTCACCAACGTTTAAGGTTTTGTGAAAGTATACCATGCTCTGCAATGGGAGCGGCGGAGGGATATTGCACACGGTAGGTTTGCGTCATCCGGCGAGTGCCGCGCTTATTTTTGAATTGATGAATGACGGCGACTCGAGTGTTTCGGCCGTTTATTTCGTGGAAAGAGTATCATGATAATTATAGTAGCGCACCTCAACGGCAAATGACATGGTAGCAACCTTAAAACAGAGATCTACGGCGGGTTCTCCACAGCTTGCCGGTCAGTGACAAGTGGCGCACTAACTGGGCCGGCAGTCGAATGGGTGGCCTATCACACCGGCGCTTCAGTAGCTGACGAAAGAGGTGACCTGCTAAAGGTGCCCTTACACTCAGCCTGTCCGCTGTATCCGCATTGATGTTAAACCGTTTTCAGATATGGTTTCTATTACCAAACGTTAGAAAATGTGTCCAGGATATACGGTCGTACATTTGATTAGAATTTCTGCCTGAAACATCAACGGAAAATAGAAAACGGACACAGCCGGACACGTCCGCGGACATCGAATACGCTGAGTGTAAGGGCACCTTAATGCTTGCTTGGGTACCGATAGAAAAAAAAGTGGCACGGCTACAACATACTCTTGAAGTTGCATATTTTATTTTTATAAAATTGTTAAATCTCATCAAAATGCAATGCTAAAGACACACATTTCATAAGGGAGAAACATATGGTAAACATCAGTATACAAAACGAGAAACGAGTGATGGATAATGGACTGCGAAAATGTCAATGGTTTCGACACCCATACCACAGTCTCATGCAATGAGGTCGATTAGTTGGCCTAAGTCTGCCCCACGCACACGTAGTGCACTGTTGCAGGGGACCGCCAGTGGCAGTAGAAGGGAGAGGAGCGGGAGGAGCCGCGCACGCGCACAGCAGCGCACACCGAGCAGGACTCTTCCTCGGCGGCGGCGTGCCTGCCGAATACGACGAGGTGCGAGGGTCGGGTCTCGACGTTGCAGATACTGCAGAACTGAAGAGGCTGCTTGGGCTGCTTGTAAGGCCGCGCCTCTGCTCTCGCGTGCAGCGACACCGACATCGGGGCGCGGCGCACCAGGTTCGGGAGATCCGAGTGGAGCTCGGATGCTGCGGACAAGAAAGAAGACGGCACAGTTCTGAATTTCTGAACAGACTCGGAAATAATGAAGCAGGGCACAAACTCGAGCGAGAGACAGAAGGCGACGCACTCGTAAACCCGAACCCGGGGCCGCCGGAGTGGAAAAGGAGCAGGGTCTCACAGAGGGTGGGGCTGGCGCCGGAGAACAAGTCGCGTAGCACATCGGGCTCGCGCGGCGGCGCAAGCCCCAGGGTCAGCGAGGTCAGGCTGGGCAGGGCGGGCAGCGCCGCGGCCAGGGCGCGCAGGCCAGTCTCCTCTAGGACGACCAGGTTGAGGTGCGTCAGGCTGGCCAGGGCGCCCGCGCCCAAGGCACGCATCAGCGTCACCTCCTCCTCGGGGCAGGCCCGGCACGACGGTATCGTCAGCTTGAGCAGCGGCCCGCACCAGGTCCTCAACGCGTCCGCTATCTGAGGACGAAGGTTGGGGGTTGGGGGTGAGTGACTTACACAGAACAGAACTTACACAGACGGTCGTGAGAAAAAAAGCGTCAAGCTGCGTACCTCGGCGATGTTGGCAGAGCAGTGTATGCGGACGAACTTTAGCTCCTGCAGCTCGCGCAGCCCTCGTAGCTTCGCGGCCATCCCTGGCGCAGCGGAGACGGTGAGCCGCTGGAGGCCCGCGGGGCAGGAGTCCAGCAGCGGCATCACAGCCGGCGAGAGCAGCTGTACGCAGCGCAGCTCACTGCAAGCACAGGCATGATAAATACCCACCCGCGAGCTTCGGTATGGCTTGGGCCTGGACAAGCGGACTCACCTGTGAGCTCCCAAGAGCAGTGCCTGCAAGCAAGAGGGCTCCTGGCCAACCAGGGAGTCGTCATACGCTGCGACGGGTATCTCCGCATACTCATGGTCCCAGAGCTTGACCTCAATGGTGTGCAGTCCAGCAGGCAGCGCCTGCCAACAGGGAGAAGAGAGCCGCGTGATAGAAGGCCGACCCGAATACATGCAGTGCCTCAGCGACGGCGACGGAGCGGTGGGCCCATGCTTGCAGGACGAAGCTACCCCGACCACCAATTCCAGGAGAACTAACCTGCGGCCAGTTTTTGCAGCGGCTAAATCCTGTGAACGGTGCTGCAAAATGTCTGGGCCACATCCAGAACACGCTCAAAGTTTCCAGAGAGGTGGCATTCTGCAAGTTCTCACAGATCACTTCGATATCGGGAGTTTTGCAATTAAAACGCACGTGCTTCGTACGCGGGCCTAGTTCACGGAGCACCGTTGCGAGCGTGTCGTCCTCAGCCAAGTCCTCGCAGACCACCAACCAGAAACCCAACCTTCTGCGGTGAGAGGAATCATTAGCCTTCCGTACCGGGTGCCTACTCACAGGGGCCACGGGATGTCAATAAGTGAAGCAGCCGACTTGACGCACGTAGGGTAAGATGCCTAATGATGGAGATGCATCTGCCCAGTGATGGACACCCCTTTTTCTTGGAAGGGGTATTTCTAGAGCATTAGTTTCGTGCCAAGATCGTAAAGTGCAAAGTTTGGCTGCAAACCGAGAAAAGTGTCCATCACTGGTACAGTGTCCTCCACCGGGCACCTTACCCTACGCACGGCAGTTTTTTTTTTTTTTGGGGGGGGGGGGCGGTTGAGGAGGTCGAATTACAGACACACCTAGTACAGCAGTGTACTTACATGACTGCTGCCCCTGTTGCCGCGTCGAGGGACATAGGCTTGGAAATGGAAACAGCTAGTCTGTCCTGGCCTTCCTCATCCGTTGAGCGGGGAAAGGCAGCAAGTTCCAAGACGACGTCGTATCGTGGGGTGACCAGTAGGAGGCCCGCGAGCAGGTCTAGCAGTCTGTCGGGGTCTTCGAAGAGCACGCACTTGTCCCACCACAGCGGCCAATGCCCCCGCGTGAGCGCGCACAGCCGGGTGCAGACCCGCCCGACGGCGCCCAGGTCCTCGACAGGGACATAGGACAATACCTTCAGCAGTGGCAGGTCCGGCAGCGACGTCAGCGTCTGCGTACATCGGAGGGCCAAAACAGTTTGAATTTCGTCATAGCGGCAAAAACGATACGGGGATGAGGTCATTCGGACATGTCCTGTAGCTCCTGTCCAACATTACCACTTCATCCAGCTGCTCCTCTTGAGCCGCTCCACTCTCCAATGTTGTAGAGTCGTTGTCGTTCGTACAGGCCCGTTCCTGCCGAGGCAACATTTCTGCAGCTTGATCGTGCTCTTTAGATTTTGGGTTGGACTAAAAACAACAGGAGCCGGCCGTAGCGTTTCTAACCTATCAACACACACAGAGCAACACTTTCGCGACCGTGACTGAGAACCAGTTAGTTATACATTTACCACAATGAGTTATGTTTTTCACAAAGCTGTAAATACGTACCAGGGTAGATGATGTATTCTATATTATACACTTATAGAGTTATGTTTAGAAAGTGAGAATGAGAATGAAGGCGTTTTCAGCGTTTGCTCGTCAAGTCCGCCCGCTAGCCCAAGCGTTTAGTTTGCGTCTGCTAAAGTGGCATGTTGTGTGCCTGCTTGCGACGGCCGCCGCTTGGAGGCGCTGCTAATGCCTATTGGATTGCCTACCTCCTGGGTGCGAAACCATCTCCTATGTCACCCAAGTTCTACACGGTTCTACACCAGCCGACAAGTTCATTTGTGATGGGTACCCCCCCCCCCAAGTCGTCTTTAGTGAGCTAGTGAGCCAGCTGAACCTGAGAGATAGGAAATTCGATATTCAAAATACCGGGTGTCCCGACTCTTACATGCCAGTATGGTGGGTTGCATAAGCACCGGCTCACTGGCGCTGTCAGGAACGCGCATCCCCCGTGGAACCGCGAGCACCCCCCAAAAGTTATCGCCATCTTTTTTGATATGTTGTCCCAAGCACTTGAAAACGCACAAATTAGTACATGTTGTGTCAACAAAAAAATTTCCTTCACACCTCGAGGTTTTTTAGCCGTCAGCGACTGCGTAGAATCCAAGGTTCCCTGGTGCGGCAGTCAACTCCCAGCCCCTATGGCTCAGTGGGTAGAGCACACTGTAAAGCCGAAAGGTAACTTTTGCGCAGATATTACCCTGCCGAGGGTGACAATTTTCGACAATCACCTCACGCGCGGCAAGAAACGATTTGTCGCCCTGCCCGGGGTAATGTGCCGTCGCGTCTCCCGTGTTGAGGGTAAGAATTCTTACCCTCGCTCAGAGGTTACTTCTCTCGCCGCGCTGGCGGCAACCGCTATTCGCCGCCTCGGCGTGACAAAACTTCCCAATGCGCTTCACCCCGCACGGGCGTGAAAAATCTTTCCTCTGTGGTGGTGACTCTTGCGGCCGTCGGTTGGGAAATGTTAGTTGCCGTAAGGCGGCTACTTCTAATCGCCGCCTCTGCGAGCCAAAACTGCTCTTTATGCGCTGTTTTTGGAAACACGTTAGAAACCTCTTCCCCCTCTCCCGCACCCGACCTCCCCGGAGGGAGAGGGACGGAGGAAGAGGAGGGGGAGGGCAAGCGGCGTGCCCGGCGATGTCGTCGGGCCGGCGAGACAAAGGCTGGAATGTGTTTCGTCGTCCGAACTCGCCCCTGCGTCGGGCTCAGTGGCTCAGTTGGTTGCGAACGAGGCGAGGACGCTGAGTTGGCAGCGCCGGGTTCGGTCCCCGGCGCTGGCAGCGGTAGGCGTGTATCCTTCTATGTAGCAGCCGAACAAGCCATGATGTTAGCCTATGGGCGTTACCAACTCGGATGACCGTTGGTATCCGAAATAGCAAATGGGCGATCGCCTCGATGCGAACACCGGAGCACACCCTCCCCTACAAATGATTTTTTTAATTTTTGCCCGCCCTCGCCCCGGGTAGCCGAATAAATTTTACCTCTGTGCGGGCGGAGGGACTGACCGTGCGCGCGGTGGCCGCCCTCGCCCCAGGTAGCCGAAGAAATCTTACCCCGGTGCGGGCAGGGGGACTGTCCGTGCGCGCGGCGGCCGCCGTCGCCCCGCTGCGAGATACTTCCGTCGCTCGGTTCAGGGAGACGCAAAAAAAAGGCACCCTGGGCAGAGGGAGAAACTGTCCCCACTTCCAGACTGACAGTATTCTTACCTTTCGGCCTCACAGTGCACCCGCCCAGAGCGTGGGAGGTCGGCGGTTCGACTCCAGGCTCGGCGCTCCGCAAGATTTTTCGCTTTTCCATGTGGCGTTGCTGTACGGCCTCAGGGCCGAGCTGAAGTTCAAGTAGAATCGGAACACGGCTCAACTCCGTTGGCTTGGTAGCTTTGGTGGCAGGGTCGCTGTCACTGACGATTGGGTTCGGCACTCGGGGTTGTGGGTTCGATACCCGCGTACCCCTTGGGACAGAAAAAGATAACACTCCCCTCGGAGGTAAGGCCTCGGAATCTGCGTTTCAGTCTTGCTCACCTTGCGACACCTGTATGTCCAACAACCCACAATCTACCCCCCAGTCCGTTTAAGCGAACAAGCACCGGATCCCATCCGAACTCCGAAGTTTACCGCGCGGGGCCCCCCGGGCAGGAGGGTGGGGTAGAGCTCTCTTTTTTTGTGTTTCGTTTTTATTTCTGTGTATCAAAGCAAGATAAACATCTTCTTACCCCGTTTTAAAACTAATTTCACTAAATCAATTTTAAAAAATCATACAAAAAAATTAGGGGACTCTCCAGTAGATCTTATTTACCTTTCTGGTGAGGAGTAAGCTAACCACCCCCATTTTATTTTTATTTTTAACCGGGTGGGGGGAGTTGGTTTTGAGCATTTACGGCGCCGAGCGGACTTTTGACTGTTCTGTGACGTGGGGCTGCACTCCGTCAAAGTCGCGGTCTTTCCCTCACTGCACTAAAAGTGCCCCTTCATGGCCTCTGAAGCCTGTTTCTCTTTGAAGCACATTCTTCCTAAATTTCAGCATATCGGCGAGGTCGGAGAAAATCAGGTCGGACAAGACCTAGGTCAGACAGTACTTTTTGTGATTTTGGAAAAATCACCAGGTCGGAGAAAAATAGGTCGGACAATCTAGCTGAACCGCCAATATTTAGGTGATGTGTCGTGACGTTTTCAGACCATTAATGATAAAGGACAACACAAAATTGTTGATAAATAATTTTTTTTAATAAGAACAGATAGATAGATAGTTAGATAGAAGGCGAATGGGGCGCTCCACTATGGAGATGGTGTCAGTTCTATTATGCCGCCACCCACGGCTCCCCATCCGCCGGCCTACAAGCGCTAGGCTCCTGGTCGGCCACCTGAAAAAGGATAGATTTTTTTTATACCAGTTTTTATAACAGTTAAAAAAACAATGACTTTTATTTATTACCAGGTGGACGCTTGGCAATGTAGCTGGCAATGGCGGGAGTAGATTCTACTTTCTTAACCAACTCTTGCAGTAGAGGATAACCCTCCAAAAAGTCCCTTTTGTTGATGTACTTGAAGTAGTTCAGAGGCGCAACAAAGAAGACATCTGCCCATGTAAGCTGGAAATTAAATGTAATGTATGTACATGCAAATAACTACACAGCAGCTTACATTTAAGTTGGGGCATTTCTGTACCTTTCCGTTGACAAGGAAGCCATTGTTCTCTTTCACAATTTGTTCAAACTTGTTCAAGTAGAAAGGGAAGTGATCCTTAAGCTGCGCCACCTTCGCTGCCTTGCTCGCGGGAATAGGGTCATAGAACCAATCGCCAATTTCTGAAGTTGGAGAAATTGCGCGATTTAAAATGAGTACATCAAATCAAACACATAAAACCACAGTGGTAAGGTGTGCTCCTAGTATGCACGTTCTCCGACGTCACTCGAGGGAGCGCGGGGGCCGCCGAGCTCCCGCCCGCACCTGGGCGCTTAGGGTGGGCCGCCGTCTCCGCACAGCTGCTTGGCGGGTCGGCCTACCCAACACGTCGCAGGCGCTTTCACTAGCCTAGCCTCGGGAAACGTTCATTGTGGGGGAAAATTGTAGAGGAACTGAACTTACTTTGACGGAAGTCATGGAAGAGATCTACAGCTTGGTCAATCAGAAGATTCTCGAGATCATCCTTTCCAGATAATCCGACCTGCTTGGCTAGGTATCGGCTAATTGCAGTTGATTGAGCATAAATCTTGTCGTCAACATGTAAAACTGGCATCTGTCCAAAGGGCATTTCTGTGAAGGAAGAAAGTATTAATGTAGGACTACTAGGCTTCAAACTTAAATTGCAGTTACTTATTTGTTCAAATATGTTTATACTCACTGCTTTTCACCTTCTCAAACTCATCGTCGTCGTAGCGGATATCTTCCCACTCAATATTGCCATAGGCAAGCAGGAATCTGATGGGCTCTCCAAGGCCGGTGACATCGAAATAGTGGAGCGTGTATTTGGGTGCCATGGTTGCTGAAAGTAAATAGAGGAGCGCTGTATGGTTCGTTGGCGGGATTGTGCAATACATCGTCACGTACATGCTAAACAAGCTCGACAGGTCTTAACTGTCAAGTGACCATCTAACACAGGAAGGGGGAGGGGGGGGGGCAAGTTTGTCATTACAGTGTGCTTTGCAATCTGTAGCTCAAGGGTCGGCCACCGCTTTGCACAGGTGCTCGGCAGGGTGACCTAACCAGCGTGTCACAGGCGCAATTATTATGGCGTAGCCGTCTTTCTCTTGCCTTTATTTTGCCGCAATTTATACAATAACTGATTTGAACGGCATTCGCTGAAGACCCCCTCCACCTCGTCCTCACCCCCTCCTCTCCTAGCTACGAAAGTCATGCGGGAGAATAATCGTTCAGGGAAAATTGGGAGTTATGGTGAGCGAGGGTACAATATACACCCTACATAAGGACAGTTATTGTA